GGCGGTGTCAGCATGGCACATCATCGATATGCCAAGGCGAACAATAAGCATATGGACGATTTCGACAATACGCAGCCATCATCCTATATCCAATACATGTACTTGGATGCTAACAATCTGTATGGATGGGCAATGTCACAGTACCTTCCAGTCTCTAATTTCCACTGGATCAATGAGGACCTCGACACCATCTTGGGCACAGAAGCGAACAGTGATGTAGGCTACATTGTTGAGTGTGATTTGGTGTACCCAGCGGAACTTCATCGATATCATAACGACTATTCTCTAGCCCCTGAGCATTTGAAGGTTACCGAGAGTATGCTCTCACCGTATCAACGAGACATGGTGCAAGAGCTTCACACCGGATAGGCAGTTTACAGTATATCACCTTGCTGTGAGTAAGACCGCTTGAAATACACCTGGATCCATACAAAAACTGGATCCTAGTGGATCCAGTTTTTTTTGGAATTTTTGAAATTGTTGCTATGCTGTGACGTAGCACTTTCAAGCCCTATTCAGCCGTGTGTTTATTTGCAAATTCGCGATGGCCTTGTTGTTCTGCATACAGAGATTAAGGGTGAATGTACATGTACATGATGTCATGTACACAAGTATGAGTACTGTTGCCTGTTGGCCACCGGGTGATCATCTTACTGCAAGTATATTCTTCTACTAGTTCTAGCACAGAAGTACATGCGCTGTGCACTGTTAGGTCGAGCAGCTACGTATCACAACTATAACCCAATGCTGTAGACAGCTAGCTGTGTCGGCCATCTTTGCCTTATAGGTAAAGCTACGAACTATAAGTAAGCCGAACTACCAGCCATGGCACAACGATGGCATCACCGACATTAATGGGGAAGTTAAGCCTAGGCAGGCACAGTGCCTAGGCAGACACAGTGCCTAGGCAGACACAGTGGGTTGGTCAAAGACCATGATTGAGATACGAGAGGTACCTGGTTCAAGTCCTGCCTGGGAGCGGTTTTTCCAGCCGTGCTGCTACCCACAGTCAACTGGGAACATGTGGCCAGACACAAGGGGTACATGGATGCAGCTAATGGGGTCGTTTTCGGCACCTGTGCCAGTGGTTGTGAGACTTGCCCACTCACCCCCACCGTTAGGCGCTGCATCTGCCGCTAGGGTTTACCGGTTGTTAGCGACCGTCGTGAGTTCCCTTCGGGAACGGACACGATAATTTACTTTTACTTTTACTTTAAGCCTAAAATCAAAAATGTCACAAGTTGTAGTCTTCGAGGTGCTGAGTGGAATGATCTTGGTTCGAGGACGCTGAGACGCTCCCTTCCTCCTATATTCCCAATCGAACTCGCGCACTTCCACCGAAATTGGGTGACTGCGCCCTACTTGATGGGGATTTGCATGCAAAATGTCACATAAAGCGCCATTTCGTTCTTATGAAAGCACGGGTGATCGGGATTGGCCCCTATGTTGTAGTCTTTTGAACGCTGAGTCGACTGGTGTTGATCCGAAAAGGCTGCGATAGAGCGTTCGGCCTTTATTCCTAATCGAACATGGTTGAACAAGCGGTCACGTGCTCCTGCGTGCACCAGTCACGGATGAGTTCCTGAGCTTCGATCTGCTCTCCACTTGCAAATGTCTCTTCGACAATATCCAGAACACCTGCAGCCTTCATCACGTTGTACATCGATCTTCGCCCGTCGTCCCAGCAGCGGAGCAGTCTGCCCGTATCGCGCCATGATGATGATCCATAATCCTCTACCCCATCAACAACGATCTTCGGTAGACGCTGGTGTTTCTCACCGCTCACGAGAACGCGCGTCGACACCCTGCACACATACTCCGCAATCTCCATGGGAGTCAAGTCCACCCGATCCGGGTGAAGAAGCATGGGTCTTAGCTCGTAGGCTGTGCCCAGATCGGTGAGTAACCGAACGGTTAATTCATCTTTATTACTACAAGAAAATAAATAGAACTTCTCTACATATGGTTCGGAGGTTGACCAGGCCGACATCTTTGATCTGGTAGAGAGAGAAATTCTGGAGACGGTACTCGATCATCCAATGGACTCAAAAATGAATTGTGAACCAAAAATGAAATTATATCAGGTTTTATAGGTCCCGCCAAGTCCCGTCCCGCCGGGTCCCGCCTCCGGGAAGGTGACGACCTTGGAGAACACGGTGAACACGGTGCGCGCCAAAAACCAAAACGTTGCTCGCGACATGCCGTGTCTTTTTTGGTTCGGGTTTGGAATCTTTCCATTGACATAAGTCAATTAGTTTTCCATCTATGTCCGTAATCGAAAGGTCCATGAGCTGTAGAATTTTTCTAGCTTTCCTCTCGTATAATTCTTTTCGACATACAACAATTCTTTCTCGAACTTTTAGCTGCTGGAATACCGGATTCATCTTGACCTCAGATGCACAGATCATGCATCCATGCATTGACGTCACAGTACATCATTGCAGCACTGATTTCACTGTGAAGTGTGGAACATGGGTCAATGCGCGATAAAAGGATGAACGTGATTTCAGCGGGAAGTGCGCTAATTGGTCACATGTTTTCAGCGGGAAGTGCGGTAAGTGGTTAATTGTTTCCAGCGGGAGATGAGTGGATTGGTTAATTGAAAAACAACCAGTTATTCCGAATTCAACTATTACGAAAACCCTATAAAAATAGATCCTCGGTACCTTGTCAAGTCATTGTGTGGTTGTCCGCCACCACCCCTGCTCAGGATGGAACCCCTTCGGAAGAAACCTCGTCAGTCTTTTGATGTAGTGAGATCATCTGATCTGTTGCAATTCTTTAGTTATTGTCCTGATCAAGAGTTTGCAGATGTACTAAAGTTTTTCTCTCATGTTCTACCGTCGCTGGAGCTGCTTCTTGAAGAGAATATTGAGCAATGGGGTCAGTACAAGTGTTCTTTGGTAGTTCAGGTGGTGATGCAGAAGCTGAATCCTGCTACAGGACAAATGGTTTCCAACACATTCTTCTTCCGATCGAGTACAACGCTGGTGCTCAACACCATGGAGCTGAGGGACCTTCTCAGTAGGATGATTGCTCAGATCAACGCTCGTCTTGATGATTTCGTTCGTCATGGATCAGGTTGGGTAGTTGAACGGATTTCCTGTTTACACATCGAAATGTCACGCTATTGTGTACTTGGAGGAAGTTCGTACATCCCCTTGCCACCGGAGTTGAAGTCGAAGAAGGCCATTGTTAACGTGCAGAACACTGACAACAAGTGTTTACTGTAAGTATAGCAGTGGGGTTTCAGTGTTGTGTTATGGTGTATGGATTGAACTGTATGCCGCCTGTCCATGTCTTATGTCATCCGTACTTTAGATGGTCAATACTGGCTGCTAAATTTTCGGCAGACAAGTCTCGTCCATGTCGTCAATCGTCGTACGCAGAACATGCGGATACTGTGGATGTGAGCGGCATCGAGTTTCCAGCAAAACTGGAAGACATACCAGTCATCGAAAGACTGAACGACGGTCTTTACATCAACGTCTTCGGATATGAAGAGAAAGTCATATATCCGTTAAGAATTTCTCAGCAACCGCAGTCCGCCATCAATGTATTGCTCATCCAAGACGAACGCAATGACGTGGAGGTGCAGCACTGGGTGTGGATAAAGTCATTCAGTCGTCTTGTTGCTACTGGAGCACGTCGAGCACATTTCGTCTGCTTCAGATGTCTCTCAACACACGTCACGGAGAAGGCATTGAATAATCATATGATGTACTGCAGTGAACATCCTGAAGCTACGGTGGAGATGCCAAAGGCTGGCGATAGAGTGATGTTCAGGAATGTGAACAAGCAGCTTCAAGCCCCATTTGTAAGTAGAACACACTGTGGTCTGTTTTTTTTGTTTTTTTCTTTCTTTACTGCACATGTTTCTTGACTCTGATTGTTCACCTTTCTGCTGTTTTACTCGGTGTTGTCTCTGCAGCTATTCCTAATTCTCTATCTGTCTTTTCCGCTGTTTTACTCGGTGTTGTCCCTGCTGCTATTCCTACTTCTCTCTCTCGCTCTCTCTCTCTCTCTCAAATGCAGGTGATCTATGCCGATTGTGAGGCCTTCATAGAACCTCTGTCCACTGTCAAGAAAATCGGTCATTCGACATTCCAAAAGAACAAGCATGTAGCCTGTTCCTGTTCGTACATTGTAGTACGATCTGATGGCGTCGTCACGAACCGTTTCTTCTACCGTGGAGAAGATTCTATGTTCTGTTTTCTGCTGTCACTTGAGCAAGAGGAGGAGATTATCCGTGATGAGCTTCTAGCATGTAATGCTGGTCAAATGATCATTTCAGAAAGTCAGCAACGTGAATTTGAAACGGTAGTCTCCTGTTGGATCTGTGGTGAAGCGTTGGGTAGCGATCGTGTACGTGACCACTGTCACATCACCGGTGCTTACCGTGGTGCAGCACACAACCATTGTAACCTGAACATGCGGATTGAGCCGTTCAAGATCAAGATTCCTGTGATCTTTCATAACTTGAAGGGATACGATTCTCATCACATCATATCTGCCATTGGGAGAACGTCCACTGATGAGATTACGTATGTGAACGAGAAAGGACAAGAACGGGTACGTTACATATGCGTGGTGTGTGTGTGTGTGTGTGTGTGTGTGCGTGTGTGTGTGCGTGGATCATGATGTTTTTCTAAGAAGGAAGATCATTACTATGTTGGTACTCACATTCACGTTTATATGATTGATATTCATCTTTACAGCTGCACCTTAAAACTGTGTCTCCTCTTTTTCTTTCTTCTCAGACCAAGCGTCTCGGTGCTATCAAAGTGGTTCCCATCAACAGTGAAAAATATGTCACATTCGGATGGAGACAGTTCCAGTTCATCGACAGCCTGGCATTCTTGAACACCTCCCTAGACCGGTTGGTTTCGGCTACACCACCAGATGCATTCGCCCTTCTATCCGCACGATTTCCAGACGAGGATGAACGCAAACTGTTGACACGAAAGGGTGTCTACCCGTATGAATATATGGGGTCGTATGACCAATTCGAAGAAACGCGTCTACCACCCAAGGATGCATTCCACTCAACGCTAACGAACACGGTGAGTAGTGTGACAGATATAGTAGATCTTTCTCTCTTTCTTTTTTCACCATCTTACTTCGAAGTACTAAAATAAGACAAAATGTGTTTGAACGCTTCCTGCAGCTTCATACTAAATAATTGATTGTGTGGGCGAACTACTAAAATAAGTTCGTTGATTTGTTTTTCTTTTTGGTGTACATTTTCTATTCCCTAGGGTATCAGTGATGAAGACTATGCCTATGCGCAAACAGTATGGACTGCGTTTGACTGTGAAGATCTAGGAGACTATCACGACCTCTACCTGGAGACTGATGTGCTGCTGTTGGCTGACGTTTTCGAAAACTTCAGAAGAACTGCTCACGCAACCTATGGATTGGATCCCGCTAATTACCTCACCTTACCGGGATTTGCCTGGGATTCGCTGCTGAAAATGACGAAGGTGTCCCTTCATCTCATTTCCGACATTGACATGTTCAACTTCATTGAGCATGGCAAAAGAGGTGGCATAAGCATGGTGTCCGCTAGACACGCCACCGCCAACAACAGATATCTATCGGAGTACAATCCAGACGAGCCGTCAAGCTTCATCCAATATTTAGATGCGAACAATCTATATGGATGGGCCATGTCTCAACCCTTGCCCGTGTCGGACTTCTGCTTTGAAGCAGTGACGGATGATCTTCTGGAGACGGTACTCGATCATCCAATGGACTCTTCGACGGGATACATGGTGGAGTGCGATTTAAGGATTCCAGATGGTGTGCATGACATGATGAATGACTATCCGTTGGCTCCTGAGAAGATGAAGGTGACACGAGATATGCTTTCTCCATATCAGACCCACATGGCAGAGAAACTAATGGTAAGTCATGGTCTATCTGGTGGATATGCTTGTATTAATCTTCTAAGGTTTGTGTATATCTATACTGTACTCTAACAATAGGAGGACAGAGGAAGTGTTTTTACTCAGAGTTTCACGCACTAAGCGATCATCAGAAAACAGTAATTGGAAATCTGGATCAGTTTTGGTTTATATCCTCACAAAGCAAAGTGTAAATAGCGGCAGTGCAAAGCGTGAATGACAGCAAGTGGTGAAAGGTGACAACCACTGGAGCTTGTTGTCCTCCTATTGTTTGAACCAGCTCTACCACTCGGTATTGAGCACTCTCTTGGACAGCCTGGAACCTCTCTGTTTTACAGGTCGCTCCCCTGTTCCCAGGGTTGAGCACTCTCCCTGGCTGTTCAAACTCGAGGATGGACAACCCAAGACCGCTACATCTGGATTACTCACTGAAGAACATTCCCATCCCTTCAGAAGACGCCTACACTACGAGGCTGATCGAGAAGGTTGAAAGCGTGTTGAAGCGGATGCGGTGGAAGGCGTTTTTCTACCTGAAAGGACCGACAACCGACGATCCAAAAGAAACCTATGGCCTTAAATCCCGGAAATGTCCGCCCCAAGTCGACGAACTGAAGGCGTTCGAGGACGATGTGTTAAAAATGATTGAGATGATTGAGTTTCGTAGAGTCGCTGATCCCTTTCAGCAACGACTCCGAAGCGACATCCAGAAAATCAGAGCATCACCGGACATCATCGTGCCAGCTGACAAGACCAGAAACCTCTACGAAGTCAACAAAGAGCAGTACACAAAACTGCTGAGCAACAACATCACCAAGCATTACAAACCTACACCGGCAGAGACTTACGACCAGATCAACTCGGAAGCTCAGACAATTGCTGCGACGCTGGAGCTGGACGACAGAATGGATGCAATGGCGAAGAAGGACGCATACATCACGCTGAAGGACCATAAAGACAACTTTTCCCGGTCCCTGCCATGCCGGCTCATTAATCCCTCAAAGAGTGAAATCGGCATAGTCTCGAAGTCTATACTGGATACCGCTCTAAAACAACTCCGTCCCCAGCTGCAGATTAATGCATGGAGGAACACGGCAGCGGTGATAGAGTGGTTCTCAAGAATACCAGAGAAAGAAAACTGCATATTCGTGTGCTTTGACATCGTAGATTTCTACCCCTCAATCTCCGAAGACCTCCTCCAGAGATCCGTCGAATTCGCCCGCCGCTACACGGACATCTCCCAGGAGGAGGGTGACATAATATTCCACGCCAGGCGATCTCTGCTGTTCGGCTTGGAGAGGCACTGGGTGAAGAGACACAACGAGCACTTTGACGTCACAATGGGGTGCTATGATGGGGCTGAGGTGTGTGAGCTTGTTGGAGCCTTCGCCCTCGCCATGATAGCGGACGTGTTCAACGGCCGAGACGTCGGGTTGTATCGCGACGACGGCCTGGCTGTGTTCAGGAATGCATCAGGACATGAAGCTGACCGAATAAGAAAGGAGATGACCAAAATATTCCAGAACCTCGGACTGAAGATAACGATACAGACAAACCTGAAGAGAGTCGACTTTCTGGACGTGACATTGGACCTGACCACCGGAAAGTACTGCCCTTACCGGAAACCGAACGACAAGCCGATGTACATCAACTGCCAGTCAAACCATCCACCTACAATCATCCAGAACCTACCTGCATCGATCAGCAGAAGACTAACAGATATTTCCAATGATGAAGACGTCTTCATAGATGCGACTCCGATCTACAGTGACGCGCTGAGGAAGAGTGGATACCGGGAGAACGTACAGTATTTTGACGAGCGTAAAACGGACGAGACAAAGAAGAAGAAGAAAAGGAATCGCCCTCGGAACATCATATGGTTCAACCCACCATTTAGCAAGAACGTCGCCACCAACGTTGGACATCGCTTCCTCCAGCTAGTGGCCAAACACTTCCCCAAAGGCTCAAGCCTCAACAAAATCTTCAACCGGAACTCTGTAAAGGTTAGCTACAGTTGCATGCAGAATATGGCCACTATCATCAAGCAACACAATAACACGATTCTACGACCCAAGAAACAAGCTAACGGAGGTGACAACGATACCAGGACTTGTAACTGTCGGGCGAAAGACTCGTGTCCACTGGACGGAGCGTGTCTAACGGAGAGTATCGTATATAAGGCAAGAGTCACCGCAGGTATGGAGAAGAAGGAATATACTGGATTAACAGCAACAACATTCAAACAACGCTACTATAACCACCAATCCTCATTCCGCCACAGACAACACGAGAAGGACACCCGCCTATCGCAGTACGTCTGGACCAAAAAGGATGAAGGGAAGGCATGCAGCATTCAATGGGCGGTACACCGCAGAGCAGCGGCCTACAGCAACAAAAGCAAAAGGTGCAACCTGTGCCTGGCGGAAAAATTGGCAATCGCGCAAGCACCCAAGCACCTCTCTCTAAACAAAAGGAGTGAGCTTGTGTCGAAGTGTCGCCATGAGAATAGGTACTACCTTCGGAACTTTAAACCAGCTACAGCCATCACCTAATTAAGTAAGAGACAACAAGCTCCAGTGGTTGTCACCTTTCACCACTTGCTGTCATTCACGCTTTGCACTGCCGCTATTTACACTTTGCTTTGTGAGGATATAAACCAAAACTGATCCAGATTTCCAATTACTGTTTTCTGATGATCGCTTAGTGCGTGAAACTCTGAGTAAAAACACTTCCTCTGTCCTCCTATTGTTTGAACCAGCTCTACCACTCGGTATTGAGCACTCTCTTGGACAGCCTGGAACCTCTCTGTTTTTCTATACTGTACTCTTGTAGGTGACCGGTTTGGAAGCGAAGAAACTGGTGCCAAATCTACTGGTGAAAGAGCACTATGTTCTGCACTACAGAAACTTGCAGCAGTATGTGTCCTTGGGTGTGGAGATTACAGATGTGCATCGTGTGCTCTCCTTCACACAACACCCATGGATGAAGCCATACATCGACACTAATACTGACCTGAGAAAGCTATCAACTTCTGATTTCGAGAAAGACTTCTATAAGGTGGGTACTCCACATCATGTGTGTGTGTGTGTGTATTTAGCGATAGTGTGGGATCTAGTATGTACTGGAAGTGTGAATGACCTGAAGATAACAGTTTTCTTATTGTTGTTTTTCTTGTCTTTTCTTTGTATGCCTGTTTATCATAGTTGATGAACAATGCTGTATATGGCAAGACCATGGAAAACGTTCGAAACAGAGTAAACATCAAGCTCATTCGTGAACAGGATGAAAAACCACGTCTCCAGAAAAGCATCAACAAACCTTCGTACATCCGCAGTGTAGCCTTTGAGAACGATCTGATAGCAATCGAGTTTGCCAAGACAAAGGTGACTCTCAATAAACCCATTTATGTGGGTACAGCCATCCTCGATCTGTCGAAGCACTTGATGTATTCCTTTTACTATGAAGTTCTCCTACCCCGCTATGGACAAAATGTACGTTTGCTCTACACTGATACTGATAGTCTGATCGTACATATTCAAACGGATGATCTGTACACCGATATGTCAAACAACATAACAGCCTATGACACATCCAACTATTCACCATCCCACCACCTGTACAGCACGGTCAACAAGAAGGTGGTAGGGAAGTTCAAGGACGAACTAGGTGGCAAACCCATCAAGGAGTTCATTGGTTTGCGGAGCAAGATGTACGCATACCGCTGTGAAGACAACGACGACAATGGCAAGCGTGCCAAAGGTGTGCAGAGAAGCGTGTTGAAAAACACCATAACCGTCGATGATTATCGAACATGTCTCGTCGAGGAGTCTCAGCTGAAGAGAACAATGAATGTTCTTCGAAGTCGACGACATTGCATTCACGGAGAGGAGCTACACAAGATTGCCCTCTGTGGATTCGACAGTAAGCGTTACATTCTGGAGGATGGTATCAACACCCTGGCATTCGGACACAAGGATATTCCAAAGCACTGAGGGATTTCCACACATACTAGAGCATATGTCATATCTTCTCATGAAATACATTGTAAATACTATGCGATTCATAATATTCACGTTAATCCAAAGCATGAGCTACATTGTACATATGAAATGCTAATACTTTTTGAGATCATTCACATCCTTCTTTGTTAACCAGGTATGGAATTTTTCGTCTTGATAACCCTTCCATTTGACGAGCCGACTGTTCTTGTTGTATTTCAACACCTTATCGAATCTCAATCCTGTGTGTCTGGCATGTTGTAGCTCAGCTCCATAGAACTGTCATTGAATGACTTCTCCCATCAGGTCTTGAACACGATAGGTGTGGGGTACAGTGGGTAGGACATCGTTTACCACGAACACTTCCTCTGTCCAGTTGGGCGTGTACCCTTTCTCGAAATGACGTTTAGCCACAGCCAAACGCACATCATCACCCACTTTGAATTTAGCTGGTGATTGCTTCGAGTGTACGTCTGCATCTTTTGGTTTTCCATCAAGAGAAGCTTTCGTGGGACTCATGCCGATACTGCGATGTTTCGAGCTGTTGTACTTGACCATAAGCTGAGGAAGGACGT